TTTCTGATGAAGGGTCTAGGCCCGAAACGTCAGCCTTTCTGCTCCTATGATGCTGCTTGGCCTGCTGTGTTCATCCAGCCCTGCACCTTGTTGTCTCGGATTCTCCAGCATCTGCAGTTCCTACTATCTCAGGTCAGATGGGATGTCTGGTCGGCGAAGGGTCTGTTTCCATGCTGTATGACTGCATGACTCTTAATATGTATCACGTACTAGAAATTCACCATGTGAAAAATAATGGTGAATTTGCATCTACTTGCACATTGATATTATGTACATTTGTTAATGCTTCTGCACTCATATCACATATTTCAAAATTGCTCTCTGAATTTGCATAAAAAAACATCCTAAGATGTTTCAAAGGAATGCTGAAAAGCAAAATTAGATAATTTATGCTAGATTTTTATTGTCAGGATGGATACCTCGAGTTGGGAAGTTAACCAACTAGGCAGTCCTACCTTGGTTTTAATGAACCCATTAGTCCCAATTTTCACTCTGGAAAGGCAAGGGCAAAATAAATCCATGTCTGTCGACACCTAGAGGTCGGCAAGTACAGAGACAGGCCAGTGAGAAGAAATGCCTCGGTTATCTGAGACCTTGTTCAGATTTTTTTAGAAGTTGTCAGAGTGTCTATTCTACATTCCTCTCCCGCCCTCATGCTCCCTCAAATCCCCATAGTGCCCATTTGCTTTTAAATGGCCTTTACCTGCTTCTATTCCTTATGTTCTTCCTACATCCAACATTGAACATTAGCACTTCTGGAGTTGTTGGAAGAGTTTGAAGGTATATTTCCATGTCACCAAAGACCCATTTCTGAAGCCATCTTCCCTGAACAGTAGTCAGTGTTAACAAACCTTAGGCAGTGTATCTGACCACTTTCTGTTTGCTGATTACAGGATGGATACATTGACTTCATGGAGTATGTGGCTGCCCTTAGCTTAGTCCTCCGAGGTAAAATGGAACAGAAACTGCGCTGGTACTTCAAACTGTATGATGTGGATGGCAATGGCCGTATTGACAGGCATGAACTGCTCAACATCATTAAGGTAAGGACGTACTGATATTTATCAGAAAATAAATTCCATTATTAAGATTGCAGGAGGCAGTGAGAATGACTGATTCCTGCTCCTCAGATGTGAGCCAACAAGTGGATTGCATAAGGCATGCATCGTAGAAACAGATTTCTGATGAAGAGTCACCAGACTCGAAATGTTAACTCTGCTTTCTTCCCACAAATGCCGCCAGACCTGCTGAGTTTTGCCAGCAATTTCTGTTTTTGTTTCACAGAACCAGACCTTTGGGCCCAATGAATCTAAGTTGGGATTTCTACTCCAGAAATGTCTTCTCAATCCATCTCAGCTTTTCAATATCTTTTTCTATTACTTTTTCAGTCGTGCACCTGCTAGTTTCTTTTTGGAAGCCTCTAAGTTATTTGCCTTATACAACTCCTGGGATAGCAAATTCTTACCACTGACTGAGTAAAGAAAATACTCTTTATTTCCCTATTGGATTCCTGATCATGTATTTATGGCACCTTATTTCTCCTTTTTGTTAACTCATGTTCATCTAAAGTGATTGTAGAGACTGATAGAACTATCTTCCATCCATGAATTAGGAGATATTGTATCAGCTTGGCACAGTTGATAATGCTTTTTCTCTCTCAGTCAGAGGTTGTAGGTTAAAACCCCAATCCAGATCATAAGTTCATAATCAAGGTTGACACTCCCCAGTGCTACACTCAGGGAATGTTGGATTGTCAGGCATGCTGTTATCAGAAGAATATCCATTAAAATGGAGGCCTTCTCTCCCTGATCATATGGTGATGAATAATCTCATTTCTCCATTGGAAAAGGAGCCAGGATCATTCCAAGTGTCCTGATCAACAGTTTTCTCTTAAACATTTGGCAATTTGAGATTCCTATTGTGGAAAGGCTACCACATGTCCCTATGTAATAAGTCTGCTCTGAAAAAGGTAACTCATTGAATGAGGCACTTTAAGATATTTTTGGCAATTGCAGTGCGCTATATGAATGGAAGCATTATGTTACTGTCGTTTTCCAGGTAAAGCAGTTAATACTGAAGCAAATGACATGTTTAATGCACTGGATGAATATCTGGCTGACACTGAACTGAGTATTAAATAGAGATAGAAGCAATGTGATTATGTGTGATGGTTCCTGAAACACAGGAACATAATAAACAAGTCAAGAACCAGTCAATGGCGAGCACAGAAGAATGCAGATTAGATGGGTATATTTGATTTGTTTCTGAATAGAGAGTTAAGCATCAGGAAACTCCATGATAAAATACTTCATACATCATCCATAAAAGGAACTGATTTGCTGGGCTGGTGAGGTGAATGGTGTTTCTCATTTCATGCTTGTTTATATCATTTAATAAGCCTTTGGCCATCGAAGAACTGAGAAAATGAATCACCTTCAATGATTCCTTTAAGAATGTACACCTTTTGACTGATTAAAAACAATTGTAGAAATTTCAACATAAAGAAAGTTTTTTAGCCCATCATGAATATACTAGTTAAAAAAAACCCCGAAAGAACTGTGGATGCTGCAAATCAGGCAAAAAACAGAAGTTGCAATTGTAGAAATTGCAACACAAAGAAATTTTTTTAGCCCATCATGAATATACTAGTTAAAAAAAACGAAAGAACTGTGGATGCTGTAAATCAGGCAAAAACAGAAGTTGCTGGAAAAGCTCAGCAGGTCTGGCAGCATCTGTGAAGAAAAATCAGAGTTAACCCTACGGGTCTGGTAACCCTTCCTCAGAACTGCCACATCTTCCATTGGAACTATCCACTTTAACTTCACTCCCTGCCAGTCCCAAATTTTATTTCCTTTTCAAATCTTTGTCTGATTCCCTTTAGCTAATACTATAGCTTCTGCCTTAGCATTCGCTTGTGACTAAACAAGCCATGATCTAATCAGTCTCTTTATGTAAATATTTTGTCCAACTCCACCCTTCATTCCTTCAGCCATAATCCTCAGTCTGTGCCCCATGTTATTTTCCAATTAGTCCAAGCAAATCTTTCACTGTTAACACCCATGAGACCTTTTCCAATCCCCAATTAAGCAAACCCCCATCAGCTTGCCCATAAATGTTAACCATCTCTGTTATAGTGAAGAAATGTCAATTTTCAAGTCTTTTTTTAATTATTATAATCTCTCACTTCTGGTATGCCTGTCACTTAATAACGTGTCTGTGGTTCTGATTTGTAATCACAGAAATCACAGAAACCCTACAGTGTGGAAACAGGCCATTCAGCCCAACAAGTCCACACTGCCCCTCCAAAGAGCATCCCACCCAGACCCATTTCCCTACCCCTACATTTTCCATGTCTAACCCACCTAACCTAAACATCCCTGAACACTACTGGCAATTTAGCATGGCCAATCCACCTACCCTGCACATCTTTGGACTGTGGGAGGAAACCGGAGCACCCAGAGGAAACCCACGCAGACACAAGAATGTGCAAACTCCACGCAGACAGTTGCCCAAGTTCCCCGGCGCTGTGAGGCAGCAGTACTAACCACTGAGCCACTATGCCACTCTAAATATTATCATTTTCACTCCTAGGCTATCCGTGCCATTAATGGTTGTGAACAGGATTTGTCGGCAGAAGAGTTCACAAACCAAGTCTTTGACAATATTGATGTTAATGGAGATGGTGAGTAAGTTTTCTGTTCTTCATTTGCATTCTTTCCTTGTCCTCTCCTAAACTCAAAGCCTCATTGCATGAGACCCCACAAACAATGATTGTCGCTGCTTTTCCCAACATCTTTTCATGTGTTAGCATGGTGTTCAGCATAGTTACTTGATTGCTAAAGGCATTGCAATGTACCTGATCCTGTTATTCATCAGAAAGCTGCAGATGGGCAGCTCCAGCGTTTATGATGGTGATCAGGACTGGGAAACAGGACATTAATTTCAGCACTTCCCTGTCTGTCCCAGCTGCGATCACTCAACCTGTGAAGATATAAGCGGCCAACCTAGGGACTGTTATGGTGCAGCTCCTGCTGCGGGGCTAATAGTTCTCTGGTTCAAGTCCCACCTGCTCCAGCGGTATGAAGCTATGTCTCTGAGCAGATTGATTAGAAAATATCGAAGAGTCCAACCTGAGGACTCCTGGGGTGCAGTGACAGTGACCCTGCCTCTGATCTAGGAGGCTCGGGTTCAAGTCCGACCTGCTCCAGAATTGTGTCATAATGTTGCAGGACAGGTTGATTAGAAAATATGAGTCCAAAGATCCATCTGGTGCAGTAGTAGTGCCCTTCCCTCTGGATTAGAAGGGCTGCCTTCAAGTCCCTCTTGTTTCAGAGGTGTGTCATATATGTCTGAACAGGTTGATTAAAAATATCTAACAATCGGACCTGATTCAGGTGGTTGTTGATATAACCCTCAAGCAATCAGAGCAGTCCTTTCCGTTCATCCTTCATCTACTATAGATGGTTGTACTTTCAGCTTCCTGGGCCAAATGTTTCAGAATCCTCTCATAGTCTATCTCAGTCTCGACGCATCCTTCTCCTTCATCAATATCCATGTCTTTGGTAAGGCAAATCTGAGCTCATTGAAATGCTTTGAAAAACTTTTATACATTAAAGCTACTGTGTCAAAGAAAATTGTGATTCTTCATTTATTTTGATTGATAGCAATGGTTAAGAGAGGAAATTGACCAGGACATTGAAAAACATCTTACTTTGTCCAGATAATCTCATTGAGTCTAACTTCATCAATGGTGGCTTTCTCTCATCTCTGATTCAGAAGATCACAGATTTTTAAAGCACAGAAAGAGGCCATTTGTCTGCTCTGGGTCTCTGAATAAGTAAATCATTTAATGCCATTCCCAGGCCTTCTTACCACAACCGTGCAAACTCTTCCTTTTCATACAACAGTCTAATTCTCTTTTGAATGTTTCAATTGAATGTGCCTCCAACACTCAGAAAATGCACTCTGCTATGTAAGAGGTATTGCTTACATAGCCAATTATTTTAAAATTGTATCCTGTCATTTTCGATTGTGAGTTAAATTCCCACCGCAATGACAACCACAAAATTGAGATTGATGTTTCAGTGTAGTGCTGCAGGAGTGCTGCACTGTCAGAGTTACTGTCTTTAGGATGAGATGTTAAAAAGAGGTCCTGCTTCCACTCTTGAGTGAGATGTAAAAGATCCCATGTATATATTACTTCCCAAACAAAGCACGGGATTTCTCCCCAGTGTCAGGAACAATGCTCAATCCCTGAACAGATATCAAATTATCATTTTTTGGGAGCTTGCCGCATACAAATGGGCTGCAATGTTTTGTACATTACAACAGAAACTTCAGTTTGAAAGCACTTCATTGGCTAGAAATGCTTTGGGACAACCCGTGATTCTGAAAGACAATTTATAAACAAGCCAAATTTAATTGATTGTGCAAGTTAAATCACCTCTTTCCTTCCAGCGTGTCTGCATCTTTCATTATCTGCAAACTTGAACTATTTTCCCTTTCACTATGTTTTGTTTACAGGAGAACTTTCTCTTGAAGAGTTTGTTGAAGGATCCAAGAAAGACAAAGAGTTTTGTGATGTGATGATGAGTAGTCTAGACCTCACTCACATTGTTACAATGATTGATAATCGAAGACACAGTGTGTAAAAAGGAAATGGACAGAACTTCAGACGAACATTAGTTATAACCCGAAAACTATTAACACACACACACACACACACACACACAGTATCACAGAATCATACCTGAGCTTCGTTCTTAGATATAATTGGACTTGGAATAAAAACTACTTATTCCAGCATGGGTAAGATGATCATTCTTCAGTAATAGAAACCGTTCTGTTAGTCTAATGCACAGCTTCAATCTGAAAAGAAGAACCTGAGTACAGCTTGCATTCTGACACAAGCATTATGGAAAGAGCTTCACAAGATGCCCTGGCTTGGAGCTATAGGTCTGCTGGCTGACAATTATAAGCAGTGACTCCACCTTTGACCATCCATAACAAGATGGCATGAAAGGGCATTGTAGAACTGGAGCTCAATCAGAGCTATTGAAATATTTTTAATGATCTTGGAATGGATGTATATACACCGTATGTGAATAATGCTTCAACCTGACACTGTCCTGCATGAATGACCTCTGTTTTGTAAAACTGCTTTCCCCTCAATGCATAAAGTGACCATACAGCATCACCAACCCTGAAGCTACCTTTGTCCAATTTCAAGAGTGAGGGGAGGACCCATTTATCAGTACGTCACTCAACTACAAACTGTGATTTATTTCTGTAAAGTGAAGGATGTAATGGACAGGATTTATTATATTTTAAAAAAACTTTGTGATTAAAATATTTTTATTAATTCTGATAGAGTGGATGGATTTAGCAATGCTTAGTGAATGTATTATCACCACTACATTTCATCTCTAAGTTGGTTCATTGACACCTCATGCATACCCAAGTTGAATGCTATTTAAAATAGTAATAAGCAAAAAATAACACTCATTGCCTTCTAACTACACCCTGTGCTACAGGCCAGATTGGTGGAAAATCAGGCTTAAAAAATGTTTTTAGGTGGCTCTGAATTCAAGATGTTTTACAAAATCAACAGACTTTTTAAAAATTTGCCTATGGGACATGGGCATCACTGCCTGGCCAACATTTATTACCTGTTCCTAGTTGCCCTTTTAAATGTGAGTGAGCAAATGGAATATTGTCCGTCATTGCTGGAGGAATGGGGTTTAAAAATAGGGAGGTTATGCTGCAGCTGTATAGGATTCTGGTGAGACCACACCTGGAGTACTGTATACCATTTTGGTTTCCTTACTTGAGAAAGGATGCACTGGCACTGGAGGGGGTGCAGAGGAGATTCACTCGGTTGATTCTGGCCTTGAGAGGGTTGCCCTTTGAGGAGAGATTGAGTAGACTGGGACTATAATCCTTGCAATTTAGAAGAATGAGGTGTGGATCTTATAGAAACATATAGAATTATGAAAGGAATTGAAAAGATAGAAGTGGGAAGGATGTTTCCACTGGCAGATGATTCTAGAACTAGGGGGCATAGCCTCAAAACAAGAGGGAGCAGATTTAGGATTGAGTTGTGGAGGAACTTCTTCACCCAAAGAGTTGTGAATCTGTGGAATTCCCTGTCCAGTGAAGCAGTTGAGGCTAAATTATTGAATGTTTATAGATTTTGAACAGTAAAGGAATTGAAAATTATGGTGAGCAGGTACGTAAGTGGAGCTGAGTCCACGAAAAGATCAGCCATGATCTTATTGAATGGTGACGCAGGCTCAATGGGCCAGATGACCTACTCCTGCTCCTGTTTCCTATGTTCTTATGGTGGTGAGCTGCCTTCATGAACCGCTGCAGTCCACATACAGGTAGGGCCTTGACTGGACAATGTGCTGCATAATGCTAGCATGCTGTCTCCACACAACTAGGGCAGGCAAAGAGAGGATACAATGGATGCTGACAAATTGGGAGAGTTGGAGCAGTCTTCCAAGGATGAGAAACATCAACTTGAACATGATACAGCGCAGTTGCATAAGGTGCTACAAGTCAAACCTGACTGAATTGACACCCAGTTGCAGTAGATGAGAGCTGGTACAGTGATCACTCATTGACTATTGGTGCTTGACTTGCAAGATGTTTGTTTCTCTTCCGAGAGGTAAATGCAGCTTCTGTTTGATTGATTTCTGGTGACTTCCCTAGACTAGATACTTCAGCTGCCTAAAATAGGTAGCCAAATATTCACGAGAAATTTTAAAACCATTTTAAATTTTAGCAAGAAACAACAATTTGGATATGATACATGAGCTAACTCATAGACATGAAAAGTATAAAACCATGACAGTTAAGAGCAGTTCATTAATAACAAAGGTCAAATGGGTTGTTGGCAGTGTGTTCGTTTCTAGGTTGTGATGGGAGCGTTCTGCTCTCTAGCTGAAGTGTTAGAGATCTCTTCCCGTGGTCTTTCTCCATTTTACCTGGTCCATTTTCCATCTAAAGAAGACAGCTGCTTGACGAGGGCTGGCCCATGATTCTGAGTACTCAATATACTCTGGGCAAAATTTTTATTGGGATCGGGGTGATTTGACCTATGGTGAGATGTGTCGCAGAACCAGGCAACAGAAGCACAAAAACTCTTCTGAATGTCAAAATAATCTTTTTTGCTTTTCGCAAATGGTGCAGCAAGATTCTTACTAGACAGCAATAAGATCACAACTGGCACTCATTATTTATTATTAAACACTTTGTTAATGCCACAACTCACCTCGTTAATATTCAGGCTTCAACCTTACCAAAGTCACCAAACCAACTCAGGCAGTGGGAAAACTCGGCATGCAAACCTGAATGGGTACCTGGTGGATTCAGCTTGCAGCTTGCTCTGACCAACCTCCATGTGAGACACTGGGCACCAACATCTCAGGTCGTGCTCCTTGGGCACCAATCACCCACACTCCACATCCATGGACATTGGCATATGAACCCTCAGAGCACAACTCTGATCCATTTACATGACTTTTCCGCATTTTAATGCTGTACCAGCAACTATCACTGTAAGAAAATTTCTGCTATACTAATTAGTTCTTCAAGATTTTCACACTATTCCATGAAAAATATTAGTTATTATCAGTCCAGAGATAGTAGGAACTGCCGATACTGGAAAATCTGAGAATTTTTTTCTGAAGAAGGGTCCAGACCCGAAACGTCAGCTTTCCTGCTCCTCTGATGCTGCTTGGCCTGCTGTGTTCGTCCAGCTCTACACCTTGTTATCTCAGTTATTATCAGTCCTTATTTTTTGCACAAGGAAGTGGAGGAGGAGATTCAATTAGAGTATAAATACTGCCATGAACTAGTTAGACTGAATGCCATACTTCTGTGCTGTATAATTCTGTATATTCTATGTAATGAGTGGAGGTATGCCCATGTTATAGAAACAAGTCACTGAAAAATATTGAGTGGAGTGTGAAGCAATTGTATCAAGGTCAGCCAGGTGGACCTCATAAAATATGAGCTCCTTGATTGGGGCTGTTAATCTGGTCCAATCAGGGAATCCTGGCTGACAGATAAAAACAGGAGTGTCAGACATCCTGTTCACACCGAGAGCTGGCCCTGAGGGAACTGAATCAGGGGAAAGGGGTCACCATGTGTAAATAAAAGCTGACTTGGTGACAGGATATCAGCCTCTGTGGAGGTATTTCAGCGATGATGGCAGACATTCATGAAGAAATTCACTTGCAACAGTCGTCTTTGATTGGTGTATGATTTCAGGCATCTTGCTGTTATTTGGGAAGCATAACTCATTCCATCCTGCCATCAGACTGCGCCCAGTATGTGGAAAGAATGCATTATTTTTTCCAGACAAATGCCATTAGGACAGATGAAAAGCAATGAGTAATTCTCCTGTCAGCTTGTGAAACCGCAGCTTTTTCTGTTATTCAGAGCCTAACTTTCCCTGAGGCACCAGATGCTAAATCCTGTCAAGAGTTAACAGATTTATTCAAGGAATATTACGACTCTAAGCCTCCTTTAATTCTGAGACACTATTGGTTTTACTCGACAGGGGAATTTGTCAGGATTTTTGACTAGGTTCGGATGACTAGTAGAGGCATGTGACTTTGGTTCAACCCTTAATGAGATGCTGAGAGACTATTTATTATGTGGGATTAATGATGTAACCATGCAAAAGTGCCTACTGGCTGAAGCCCAACTTGACTTCAAACATGCACTACAACTGGCTTTATCACTGGCAAATGGATCATATGAGTTGCAGGGTATTCCAATGGAAGTGGACACCTTTACCAGTCTGACTGAGCTTACAGGACACACTTGAGTGAAGGCAATTGTATAGCCTCACTTAGGACATATCCTGAACAGAGGGACTCTGGTCAGCTGACAATAAAACCCCAAAGCAAAGCCAAGCCTTGGCCAAACAGTTAAAATTTTCTTAAGGATCCGGGTTGGCAAGCCATTCAAGTTTCTGCCAGAATGTGGGCTTGAAACAGCAAAAAAATCCCACTCAACCTAAATTGAGTAAGAGAACTTATCGGCAGGTATCCAGCAGAGTGCACACCCTGAAAAGTCCACCTACATCTAGTTTGAAACAGTGAAATTGTTTAGCAACATCCAAATCAGATCCAATCAAAATAAACATCAAATGAAATGGTCACCTGGTTCTAATGGAGGTCGATGCCGGTGTGGCTATTTCAGTGATTGCAGAACCAGTCTTTTAACAAAATTCTTTCTGGACTCCAACCCTTAAGTTTGTGCAATACCTCAGTTGGACTGAGATCATATGCTCGGGAACAGTTACAGATTAAGTGTACAACTTCAGTTCCAGTCTCTTTATGAGACGCAGCTGGTTCAGTTAGCACTGGTTGTAGCAAAAGGCTCAGGCCCAAACTTGATGAGTCAAAACTGGTTGAGAAAGATTCACCATGATTGGCTCAAAATTTTTCAATTAGAACATGGCAGCCTGAGTGAAGTTCTAATTAAATACCTGGAGGGTTTTCAGTAAGGTCTAGGGACTATCAAAGGAGCCAAGGTCACTTTGCATGTTGACCAGGAAGCAATTCCACGATTCTGCAAGGCCCACCCAGTTCCATTTGCCTTACGTGCAAAAGTAGAGGCAGAAATCAGAAGGCTTGTTTGCGAAGGAATCATTGAACCAGGCCAGTTTGTGGAATGGGCAGCACCGGTCGTACCAGTCTGTTCGCCTTTGTGAGGATTTTAAACAAACAGTGAACTGCTTTTCACAGCTGGGTCAATACCCAGTCCCTCACATAGAGAATTTCTATGCAAAGCTGGCAGGGGGGCTGTCCTTCATGAAGCTGGACATGAGCCCTGCATACTTACAATTGCGGTTAAATGAGGATTCAGAGAAGTATGCTGTAATTAATACTCATAAGGGTTTGTATTAATATAAGAGACTATCATCTGGGGTATCATCAGCCTGTGTAATTTTCCAGCAGATAATGGAGAATATTTTACCCAGGGTCACCATTTATCTAGATGACATGCTAATAACAGGGAAGACCAATAAGGAACACTTAAGAGAACTTAGACATAGTCCATAGATATTTCTCGCAGGCGGGCATATGCCTTAGAAGGGATAAACATGTGTTCCAGGCACGGCACCTGACCTACTTGGACTACAGAGTCAACAAGACTGGGCTACACCCATTGGAAGATAAAGTGAGGATGATCAAAGGTGCTCCAGTTCCCACATCTGTACCAGAGCTTATGTCTTTCCTTGGGCTGGTGAATTATTATGGAAAGTTCATACATAATCTGGCCTCCATCCTGACACCTTTGCATCAACTATTTAAAAGGGTAAGCCTTGGAAATGGTCACATAGCCAAGCCATTGCTTTCATGGAAGTGAATAAATAACTATCATCTTCTAAGGTGTTGGCACACTATGATTCCAAGCAATTTCTGGTATTGACATGCGATGCCTTCCTGTATGGCATTGGGGTCAGATTAGCTCATGGGTGGCCCAGTGGAAGGGAACGCCCAATAGCTAATGCAGAGCATAAATATGCCTAGATAGAGAAGGAAGGTTTGGCAGTCATATTTGGAGTCAGGAAGTTCTACCAATATCTTTATGGATGTATATTTGTAATTACAGTAGGTCTACTTATATAGGACAAGACAGTGCCACCCATAGCTTCAGGCCAAATTCAGCAGTGGGCTCTAATACTAAGTTCTTTTAATTAATTACAAGTTGGAACACCATCCAGGAGAGCAAGTAGTAAATGCAGATGTATTGAGCCACGTCCCGCTGGCACATATACCACTGATGGTATCGTCACTGGAAGAGTCCGTAATAGTTTTAAATTTTCTGGACACTCCTCCAATCACAGCTGACAATATCAGACTTTAGACCCAGAAAGATCTGGTCCTGGCAAGACTGAAACAGCTGGTGGCAAGGGGGAAAACCAAAGGACCAGATTAAGAGCCCCAGTCAGGGAGTCCTGGCTGACATTCTGTTCAATCTGACAGTTAGCTCTGAGGGAGCTGGATCAGTGTCAAAGACTCTCCACATCGAAAGAAAGTTGACTTGGTGATGGGATACCAGCCTCTGTGGAGTTATTTCAGAGTCTGCAAATTGAGTTGAGAGAGTATGCTGCTCTGAGTTTAAGAGAGATGGTCAGAAGGTGAACATTAACCTGGGGAGATGTGGAGCAACGAGTTGGTAGTGTTAAAATTTAAGGTGAGAAAATGGATATGTGGGATTGAGGAACATTGTAAGAAAGTGGATAAATTGAATTTGGAAGTGTCAAAAATATCAGAAATGTATTGGAAATGCCCTGTTAGGTTAATGTGATTTTCCAATTGTATATTTTTCATTTATATAACATGCACAGGCAGGTTTTATGTAAATGTTTTATTAGTTTCTTATCTACAATAATGAAATATAACTAGGTTTCCCATATTATAAATTTATCCTACTCACTTTCAAAAAAGCTTGTAAGCCCCATATCCAATTCACCCACTTTTAGTTTTAATCCCAAAATTATAAACCATGCCTTTCATTCATGATATAGGTCAGACCTAATACCATGATGCACATTTTAACAGAGGAGCTTAGTTAGTTATCCATTACTTCATATGGAATATGAATTATTGTAAAAAAACTGACAGTTTGAACCTTTCATTATCTCTCAACCCAAGTAGTCAGCCCCATTCATTGAGGTAAAGTTATCTAATCTCCAGAAGTGCTGCCTCTGTAACTTCATTGGGGTCTATGTCCCCTTTAAACTGGTCTTCATGCGCTAACCTCCAGTCACACAATATTCTCTCACTTGGTGGTTTGGCTAAGTGGCTAATCTGAACAAGATGTCAATCTCCATCTCTTTTGGAAAAAGGGACATGAAGAAATGAAGATGTGGGGATGAAATAGAAATAAGCATCAGATGCTTGACCCCCTGCATGCTCCACCATGCTCCAAAACCACATTCACTGTTGATTCAGTCAGGCTAGCTGCATTATATTTAATTTTGGTACCATGTTACCAGACTGCTGAACAAACACCCTGCTCCTGCTGAGGGTATCCTCAATAAAGCCTCCAAGACAAGGTTTGAGAGCTAATGCAAAGTAACAAATTGAGACACATGATTGCCGAGAATTCACTTCCTGTGCCTGGCGAGTAGTCTGGTCACATGGTCTCTGAAAGGGTGGCAGAGTTCCTTGCTGTGTCTGAAGGCTGAGAAGTTGCAACAGATCATAATTGTACCGTAACTCAGATTGCTGTAAGATAAATGAGTCTGGAGTCTGTCTAAAATCCAGGTCTGCAGCTCATACTGATCTTGCCCCACCCGCCAGTGTTTTTATTGAGTTAAATGTCAATACCAAGCTCCTAATACAGAAAACTACCAGGTTTCACACCATACACATGAGATGAGAAACGATTTAAAAGTTTAAATGAGTGATTTCTTAAAAGTACAATTGACATTTTTGCAATTCAGGACTGTAAGAGTTTGCCGGGGAATTGAGGCTGGCTGCATTGTTTTATCTCAGTCTGATGGAGCCACAATAAGGGGTGCGAGGAACTCAGAGTGGTGGATTCCAAAGGTATACTTGGGGTAATTCTTATGCAAGTTCACCTGAGAAGAAATAACAAAGAGTTAAGTTGCTAGGTCTTTCCGTATGTCACTCAGTAATGCCATACAATTTCACACATTGCTTTTGAATTGAGACGTTATTCAAAATACCCTCCTCTTAAATGATATGGAACTGAGAGCAGGGAAGTCTCATGTTCAACTCCCGATTTCAGGTGAGGATTATCTGACCAGTAAAATGGGCTTCAGCAAGGTCGAGGTTATCTGGGGTAAGGAACGTCTACCATGGCCCCCCGTAATCCTGATGTTTTTTTGCTGACCTGATTTCAAATGTAGTGAGTGCAGACTATAGGCAAGGGCAGGAGGGGATGCCACATGTGGTCACATAGCTTTCGGATACTCAGTGGTAGGTCAAGGTGAGCTGATATTTCAGATAATGGGCACAAGAAGATGGATGTATCAATGCAGTGACCCACACTAAATTTGCATGCGATTAAGGCCCACTGCTAAGGTCATGGAATCCACTATTTCTAGCAGTCAGATGGATGCTGATTGCTCCTCCACTTCTGTTGTCCAGGTGTCAAGCAGCAAACTTGTCAGCCATCGTAGAAACTGGAAGACTTCATTCAACCATTCAAGACTGTCCTGCCATTCCATCACATCATCTTTGATCTGTATTTTAACATTTATCTGTTTTGGTTCTGCATTCTTTAATACATTTGCCCAATCTCAGTCAGCTGGTTCCCACAGCCTACCAAACGAACTCATGATGCAAGCTAAGCAATAATATTTACTGATGGGAAAATGCCAACCCATGGATTCAGTACTGGATTTATCCTCATCTGTAGCATATGACCAATGGAAGCAATTCTTCTCTAATCCAGGAGTTACATTGGAAATCAAACCCTGCTATTTCCAGATTTGTCACAGAAGTTAAAGATTTTTAAAAGTACACAAAAGTTCGCCACTTTAGATCCAGGTTGACAGAAAACATGAATCAGGGTTCTGTTCTTAACAATAATTACTATTTACTGCAAATAAAATTATTCTAACTACAGATAAATAGTTATGAACCATTGATATATAACTCTACAAGTTAAAATTCTAACCCACTTATATAACCCCTCACCGCAATGACACACACACTCACTCACTCCCTCCCAGAAAAATGAATGTTATGGATGGAAGGAAAGACTAGGAAAGCAGTTCCACAGTCCCTGTCCGCAGAGTACGCTGAGGCGATCTTTTAGCTAATTGGAAAACCACTTCTTGATCGCCCTTCTGCAAGTACTTTCATTTGTTTACAGGAGGCATAGGGTGACTGGTTCACCCACACATTAAGGAAATAAACGGGCTCTCTTCAGGCTTGAGATGCTTTACAATGCAGAGCAAAACCAGGTCCTTTACGTCCAAAGGTCCAATGGCTTCTGACCCTAATATTCACATCCCCCAAGCTGTTCAGCTACCCAAGCACATAGTTTGTGGTAAGCAGGGGCCTTTGCCATTGATTCCAGGTCATCATTTCACAGAACATTACTTGTTGCCGGCTGAATTTACATTTACACACAGACCCTGGCTTCAGCTTTTTGCCCACTGATTGAACCAGCAGCTGTGTAAACACCACTTATACCATGAGTGTCAGCTAGCTTGATTTTAAAAAGTGCAACACTCCTTCTACAATCTTTGGCTTTTAAAACTGCCATTTTCCTATTTCAGTCCACAATCACAAATACAGAAAACTAAAAAGATAGTCTTTACTGAATGTGTATTCCGGTCCTGTTGGCGGCCCCTCCATTAGGAACATATAAAGTAAGAGCCCATTGGAAGTAAAGTGAAGGCAGTAGTTTTAACTCCATCTCTGAAAGTAACTCCTCAATCCTCAATCCCTTCTCTAGACTGATGCACATGCAATTCTCTTTGGATGGCATTTACAACATCCATTTCAGTTTTGTTTTTGATCACATATTTTGTAATTCAGTTTCTCTTTGAGTGCAAAACTTCTCTACCCTCAACTTCCCTGTTTACCGTAACCCCTGCCATTTTAACCTTTCACCCCATCTGTAGAAAGTCCCTTCAGAATCCAAATACTTTGATAAGGCCACCATTTAAATGTGAAAACAAGAAGAACAAGTGGCATGGTGGTTAGCACTGCCACCTCACAGCACCAGGGACCCCAGTTTGATTCCACCCTCAGACAACTGTCTGTGTGGGTGCTCTGGTTCCCTCCCACAGTCCAAAGATGTACAGTTTTACTCCGTGTTCAGGGATCTCTGGGTTAGGTGCGTTAGCCAGGGGAAATACAGGGTTACAGGAATAAGGTAGGGGGATGGGTCTGGCTGGGATGTTCTTCAGATGGTCAGTATGGACCAGTTGGGCCGAATAGCCTGTTTCCACACTGTATGGATTCTGTGATTGTATTCGATGAAGCATTGTGACCAGTTGAACATTCCACTTGATCCTGTCAGACGAGAGTTACTGTTGGGCCCTCCAAAGGAGATCACCCAGGATTCAGGCTGAAGGAGGCTCACAACTATTCTGGCCGCCTGTCCTCCCCTCTCCTTGATTCTCACCTAGAGTGAAAATTGTTCCCTTCACATCACTTAGCATCCATTCTATCAGATGGAGTGAAATACTGGAGAGTCCTTTGCCAGCCAACCAATGTTCAGTGTTATTACATCAGCCAGTTTGGATGAATTTAAAGATGACTAAATTTAACAACACACAAATATTATACAAAAGAACAATAAAATTAAAGCAATACAAGCACAGACCAAATGTTGAAAGTACAGCACAGGAATCAGATCTATTTTTACCCACAGCACGCGAATACAGAGGCATATTTACGAACTGGTTCCTAGGGTGAGCGTCACATTGAATACAGCTTTCTGTTCAGAATCGTTACTTACATTTTCTGCTCTGTAGCGGGCTGGTCCAGGTTTCAATGTAGTGTCTCCCGGAATCGCATTGCGTTCTACTATGGTGTATGTGGGTGCTCTGTTTTTGAACACATCAGTATCTACGTGTTTGTACGCACACGGCCCTGGAGTCTGCAATTAAAGGTAAAGAAAATGATGTAGGCAAGGCGTTGGTGAGATTTGTTTTGCAAAAATATACTTAATGCGTAAAATTTTCAATCCTCAGAATTGAGGAAGGGTCGCCGGACCCTAAATGTTAACTCTGATTTTTTTCTTCACAGATGCTGCCAGACCTGCTGAGCTTTTCCAGCAACTTCTGTTTTGGTGACAGATTTACAGCATCCGCAGTTCTTCCGGTTTTTAAAAAAAAAATAAAATTCCGTTTGTCTTCATCCAGCACGTTTCATTGCTGGGTGCCTCAGTACAGTAATAATACCTTTGATATTCGCAATACAATCCATATCAGATTTGTACCTGAGGGCAAAACAATTCAAATTGAAAATTACTGCGGATCCGATTTTTATTCCCGGATCGGATGGACAGAGCTGGGAGAGGTTGCGGCACTGTGAAATTGGCACTCCCTATGTTTGGACCGGGTGCATGGGTGGGGTGGGGATTTTGTTTGGGCTGGATTTGAAATCGGGTGGAGAGGTCTGGGAAGAACAGTAGAGGCTGCTGATTTGGAGGGTAGGGTCAGCGGAAAACCTGTCCTGGGCTTCACGCAGCGGTATAGACATGAACGCTGATCCCACACCCCACCTGAGGATAACTGATCTCACCCACTGCCCCACCCAACCCCTGAAAGGTGTCCCCATGCTCATAAATTTAGGGGGTACCTTCGCTCTTCGGAGGGCATCCTGGCTATCCAAGTCATAGAGTCCCTGCAGTGCTGAATTAGGCCATTCGGCCCACCGAGTCTGCTCTGACACTCTGAAGAGCATCTTGCTCAAAACCCAGCCCCCAACCCTACCTAATTGAAATGTGGAGCTTGTTCAAGGAACAGCTACTACGTGTCATTGATAAGTATGTACCTGTCAGGCAGGGAGGACGTGGTCGAGCGAGGGAACTGTGGTTTACTAAAGAAGTTGAATCTCTTGTCAAGTGGAAGAAGGAAGCTTATGTAGAGATGAGGCGTGAAGGCTCAGTGAGGGCGCTTGAGAGTTACAAGTTAGCCAGGAAGGACTAAAGAGAGAGCTAAGAAGAGCCAGGAAGGGACATGAGAAGTCTTTAGCAGGTAGGATCAAGGAAAACCCTAAAGCTTTCTATTGGTATGTCAGGAATAAAAGAATGACTAGAGTAAGATTAGGGCCAGTCAAGGACAGTAGTGGGAAGTTGTGCGTGGAGTCCGAAGAGATAGGAGAGGTGCTAAATGAATATTTTTCGTCAGTATTCACACAGGAAAAAGACAATGTTGTCGAGGAGAATACTGAGATACAGGCTATTAGACTAGACGGGATTGAGGTTCATAAGGAGGAGGTGTTAGCAATTCTAGAAGGTGTGAAAATAGATAAGTCCCCTGGGCTGGATGGGATTTATCCTAGGATTCTCTGGGAAGCTAGGGAGGAGATTGCAGAGCCTTTGGCTTTGATCTTTATGTCGTCATTGCCTACAAGAATAGTGCCAGAAGACTGGAGGATAGCAAATGTTGTCCCCTTATTTAAGAAGGGGAGTAGAGACAACCCTGGTAATTATAGACCAGTGAGCCTTACTTCGGTTGTGGGTAAAGTGTTGGAAAGGATTATAAGAAATAGGATTTATAATCATCTAGAAAGGAATAATTTGATTAGGGGTAGTCAACACGGTTTTGTGAAGGGTAGGTCGTGCCTCACAAACCTTATTGAGTTCTTTGAGAAGGTGACCAAAAAGGTGGATGAGGGTAAAGCGGTTGATCTGGTGTATATGGATTTCAGTAAAGCGTTTGATAAGGTTCCCCATGGTAGGCTATTGCAGAAAATACGGAGGCATGGGATTGAGGGTGATTTAACGGTTTGGATCAGAAATTGGCTAACTGTAAGAAGACAGAGGGTGGTGGTTGATGGGAAATGTTTACCCTGGAGTTCAGTTACGAGTGGTGTACCGCAAGGATCTGTTTTGGGGCCACTGCTGTTTGTCATTTTTATAAATGACCTGGATGAGAGCGTAGAAAGATGGGTTAGTAAATTTGTGGATGACACTAAAGTCAGTGGAGTTGTGGATAGTGCGGAAGGATGTTGCAGGTTACAGAGGGACATAGATAAGCTGCAGAGCTGGGCTGAGAGGTGGCAAATGGAATTTAATGCGGAAAAGTGTGAGGTGATTCAGTTTGGAAGGAGTAACAGGAATGCAGAGTACTGGGCTAATGGTAAGATTCTTGGTAGTGTGGATGAGCAGAGAGATCTCGGTGTCCATGTGCATAGATCACTGAAAGTTGTCACCCAGGTTGATAGGGTTGTTAAGAAGGCGTACGGTATGTAAGGTTTTATTGGTCGAGGGATTGAGTTTCGGAGCCATGAGGTCATGTTGCAGCTGTACAAAACTCTGGTGCGGCTGCACTTGGAGTATTGTGTACAGTTCTGGTCGCCGCATTATAGGAAGGATGTGGAAGCATTTGGAAAGGGTGCAGAGGAGATTTACCAGGATGTTGCCTGGTATGGAGGGAAGGTCTTATGAGGAAAGGCTGAGGGACTTGAGGCTGTTTTCGTTAGAGAGAAGAAGGTTAAGAGCTGACTTAATAGAGACATACAAGATGATCAGAGGATTAGATAGGGTGGACAGTGGGAGCCTTTCTCCTTGGATGGTGATGGCTAGCACGAGGGGACATAGCTTTAAATTGAGGGGTGATAGATATAGGACAGATGTCAGAGGTAGGTTCTTTACTCAAGAGAGTAGTAAGGGCATGGAATGCCCTGCCTGCAAAAGTAGTAGACTCGCCAACTTTAAGGGCATTTAAATGGTCATTGGATAAACATATGGATGATAATGGAATAGTTTAGGTTAGATGGGCTTCAGATTGGTTTCACAGGTCGGTGCAACATCGAGGGCCGAAGGGCCTGTACTGCACTGTAATGTTCTATGTTCTCTGTTGTATGTTCTATCCCCATAAGCCTGCATTTCTCATGGCTAACCCATCTAACGTACAGATCCCCAGACACTACAGGGCAATTTAGCATGGCCAATCCACCTAACCTGTACATCTTTGGACTGTGGGAGGAAACCGGAGCACCTGGAGGAAACCCACGCAGACACAGAGAGAATGTGCAAACTCCACACAGACAGTCGCCCGAGGCTGGAATCGAACAAAGCCAGAAAGACAGGTCTAATAAGCAAACACCAGGTTACACATCTGGTGATTTAAATCTCAGCTGCTTCTATGAAATGTGCACACGCAAGACTGCTCTTAATCCACTCCTGGCCCCACAGGAATGGGAGTTACTTTATTTTGGGGAGCGTGATTGGCAGTTTTGGGTTGCCAGATTGGGGAATTTCTGCATTGTGGTGAAACTTTGGGTCAGAAAGTGCGTTGGAAATCATGAGCTGAACCTTACTGGAAATTGGCTCAGTGTCATTTCTGGCAAGTTTTGAGGAGGGTTTCACCCCGCGGGGCTAACGAGTTTTACACCACTATCTTCCTAAACTCACCTCTGGAGCTAGTCACCAGACTCTGATGGTGCCCCACTCGTCGTATTCTTGTACTCCCCATGGCAGGACTAATTGGCTACTTGCACGAGCTCTAGAGATTCCCTCGAATCTCCTGTGCCATCTTTAATGCCCAGCAGTGTACTTGGTTAAGCAGTAGCAGCTACAGCAGCACTGCACAATTCATTTTATTTGCCCTGGACATGTTGCACAATGGGGTTAATTGGCATCCCTCTTTGCCAACAGGATCTTAGAGATCCTGATGGATGGGAGGGCGTGTGCAGTTGTTGCCTGTGGTGCACGCTGTGAGATCTTGGTGACTAATAGAGGGACAGAAAAGCATGTGTGAACTGGAGTCACCAGGTTACTGATCTGGTTTGTAACTGTCTAGTTTTTATCAGGCAGATGGGACAATGGGAAACTGCAGAACAATGAGGCACGATAACATTCAATTGAGACTGTCATTACGTACTAATGCACAAAATACATGCTAACACATGCAAAAGGACCTCCCACTGGTGAGAATCTTGTCTCGCTGTTCAACACATGGTTGAAAAATGGGACTTTTTGCTTTCAATGGTAGCAAGCTCCTCCTAGCTGTTTTCATATGTTTCTCCCTAACTTCTCACCAATGTCCATCACACTCAGGGACTGGGAAGATTCAGCCCAAACCCTTCTCAATAAAGTATGTTCCACTCTGTGAGGTGACTCAATATCAGCTCGTGATGTTCATCATATTCGTCCGCTGTTGGGCAGACAACCAGAGAGATTATACAGTACCCAGCCATTCAGTGTCCTAAGGCAGCTCCCTCAAGCTTTACGGCATCTATCAGCACAAGGTGCTGGATATTGCAATGTTCCAGTCTGCATAGATGAGATAACAAGGTGTAGAGCTGGATGAACACAGCAGGCCAAGCAGCATCATAGGAGCAGGAAGACTGACGTTTCGGGCCTAGACCCTTCATCAGCTCTACACCTTGTTATCTCAGATTTTCCAGCATCTGCAGTTCCTGTAGGAACTGCAGATGCTGGAGAATCTGAGATAACAAGGTGTAGTGCTGTGTTCATCCAGTTCTACGCCTTGTTATCTCTATTAGGATTAGAATTAGCTTTACTGTCATATGGACTCAAATGAGTGCAGTGAAATGTTTACAAGTTGCCACTTATGGTGCCATCTTAGGTACAAAGATGCCTAGGTAGTGATTCTTAAGTACAAATTGTTGTGGGAAGCATTTTAAAAAATGTCCAGCATTATAGATTATTGGAATAAATTAGAAAAATAAAGAAATAAAAAGTTCAGGCCTGAAGGTACAGAGGATAAGTTCCAAAAATAGGGAGGCAACTAAGTGATTAAGGACAAAGAACAAAAGTATCAAGGGCAGGGTGATCAAGTGTTTCATACTTAATCAGAGCATCCTTTTATTTACTCAATTGTCCCAAGTCCCATAGCCTTTCTTCCCCAGCTACCACTTATCCCAGGTTTCAGGTTTTCGTGTTTCGACTTGATGTGATTTATT